AGGGAATCCCTGGTGCTTTTCAGTAATTCTGAATTAATTATAGATACATCCATTCATCGAAATGGAATGACAATCATATTATGGTTTATATACAGAGATAATTTATTGACCAGCTTAATGAGGCCTGCGAGATTGGACTAGAGTCCTCTCTCTTTATTTAGGTAAATTAAAGGGTCAATTTAAAGAAACCCTTTGGAAAAGGTACTGAGTTTAAACCAACACTTAAAATACATAGGAGGGTATACTAAGAAAATCTGAATGCCAACTCTTTCACCAAAAGAATTGATTATCCTCAATTCAATTAAGTACTTCTTTCTTCTACACTTATTCCAAAAGTGGATGAAATCACTTTTTTAGATAACATGCTTTTAATTAGAACAGGAAGAAACTTCTATAGAAGTTTTTAACCTTTAGGGAGAGCCAACTAATTGAAAAAGATGGAAGGCCTCACTAAACTAACTGATGATATTTTTGACAAAAAATAGGAAGAAAAAATAAGAGAAAACTAATTTCTTTTGTGTTAAAGAATTCCTTCTCTAAAAGTGAGAATAAAGATTTCTAGTAATTCTGAGTACTCTTATTTTTGTAAACCATTTTAAACTTATCTTGAATTTCAAAAATGAACCTAACGACCCCTATATTTTTGAAAGCTCTGAATATCAATAATCGCTAAACATTCAACAGAACGAACTATCAGTATAGAGGTTATGCTGAATGATACTCAAAAAGTATATATTTAAAGACTAACTGTGACTTCTTGCTATGGTAAATTGCATTTGATAATAATGATTAATCTAAGTTAGCCTGGCTCTTTCTCCCAAATTAAATATTGTCATTAATTCGGTTTTTCTCTTCTGAACCTTCACTTTAACTGAATGATGAAGCTATTTATTACTTATAAGATAAAAGTTTTGATTATGAGGATATTCCATGAAAATTTATTTTGCTATTTTTATAAAATTTGCCATTTATCATTGTGAATAATTTTTGGGATTTTCAAAGTTCACATTTGATGTACTGGATTTTTATGAATGCTTCTTTTAATCTGAAGGATTGTCTCCTTATTGGCAGAGCATAACTGAGTTTAGAGATGTTTTCGCCATTCCCTTATAATTTAGAGTTACAAAAATAATGTTAGGAAATTTCCACATCCTTAGACTATAACATATTATTCCAGTCCTCTATCGAATATTATTGAAGATCTCAAATCCATTCTTTCATCAAGGTTTTGGGAGCCTAGCCTGCTGAGTCATCAGATATTTCTCTAGGTTCTTGATGTCTCTAATTCAGCCTCTACTACACTTTTCTTCTTGATTTTATAGGATGTCCCTCTTGTTATTTTATCCAAAACTCTTATTGGCTTTCAACTTCCTCTTTTATTTGAGATATACATCGACCACTCTTAAGTTACTACTTAATTGAATCCTTCTCCACATCATTATAATAAGCTTCAAGTATTTCCATATGTTTAATGCATTCATAATGAAGTATTTTCATATCAGCTATAATCAGGTTTTATATTTGTTAAGTCTAAATGGCCTATGAATAAGGACAGCAGATTATCATCTATTGTGATCATTTTATGATTGTTCCAATCTATACTCTAATTAGGAAGTCATGTGCAAATAATGGAATATTTTCACTTTTGCTTAATATTCACTTATATTAAGCATTCTCAAATTTGAGTAACTTAGGAAAGACAGGAGGTTATCTAATATACTCTTGTTAATTCAGTGTATTTATTCAGTGCAAATAATTCATATTTGAAACGATAATGAGCAGTCATTAGCGATAGAGGATAATGTCAAAAGGAAGTTGATGTTAAGAATAATATTTAAAATTATCAGCATTTATTGTATTTTACAATATCACCGTGAAGCTTATACAGTTTCAATTGATACTTAATTAAATTATTGTTTAAGGCACATAGACTCATTATCTTTTAAGTTACGGAAGTAAAATAAACAATTATATAATCAATATCAAATTAGTTCAAATTATTCTTTGTGTAGGGGGCTAAATAAAATTCACTTTAATTAAGTTAAACTCCTATTTGCCTAAACAAGCGCAAACCTAGTCATCTAATACTAAAAAGTGTTTTCTTGTTAGGCTTAACTTTCAGAACATGACAAAAAGTAAAAGCAGATCCCAATTTCATGAATTCGTGGGAATTATCATATTGTTAATATTAAGTTATGCCCCTTAACTTGTATCAGTCAACCTTAACTGGCCTTATCCTTCAAAAATATTGTCCAAAGTGGCTCACTGTTTGCTCTCTCTTAAGTAATGTATAATAATTTAACACACTAAGTAGTTGTCCAAATACTTTTTCATGAAGATTTCTTGAACATTAATGTTCTCATTATTTAGTAATTTCATGCTGTTTAGTATAAATTCTCTTTCGATATTTAAATTAAAATTAAATTGAAATATCATGACCAGATGATAATGTGATTTTAAGATTTAAATGATGAAAACACGAATAAGAATAATAATGGAATATTTAAAGAATTATGGAGGTGATAAATCCAAATGTTGTTCAAGAAAATATTTTGAGGAAATAATTAAGGAAAGAAGATACAATTAGAGGATGATGGGTAATAGGCTAAATATAAATAATTGTCAATCCAAAGTTGGAGGTCACGAAATGGGGTTAGTTTTGTTAAAAAATTCAATTTATTCTAAGAAATGATCTGAATACTCAAACAGATTTCATCAGTGTTCTAATAATGAGGAACTCTTAAGAGCCATAGAGGGAACCTTAAGATTCATAGTGATAATAAACAAGTGAAATAAATTCACTTGTATGAAATCAGGGATATTTAATCAAAGTGACTAATGGAAGGTATAATAATATACTTAATAATTAGTTAGAATTGATCTTTACTTCATCTATGGATGAATATGTTCAAATTGGAGATTCTTTGCCGATATTTAGGAGAAATATGAAGAGGTGTGGTATTAGGAAGTAACTGAAAGAAATAAGTTGATCTTGAAAGGCAAACTGGACAAGTAGTGAGATGAGGGGATTGAAACATCTTTAGCGTAGTTAAACATATTGAAGAATAATAACTATAAACTATTGTAAAATATAAAGGATGCTTTTGAGTAAACGAAATGGATGGCCAAACGAAAGAGATTTTAGACATATACTATTTTCCAAAAATTATGGTCTTAATTTTAACTTCTAAAGTTAAATTTTATGATAATAAAATTTTTGGCATTTAAAATCCAATTTACATGAACTTTTTGTTTTATGCAATAGCTTTCTTTTGCAATTTTACAGAGATAAATTCATGATAGAAAAAGCTTAATAATGCAGCTAAAATGGCAACAAAATCAGAATTATTGTTTTCTAGTCTTAAAGTATTTTATAATCACGCTAGGAAGTCTATGAGAGATTTCATTTATTTCTTGGACACACCAGAGAGAAGCAATATGTAAAAGAATTTGCAATTCTAAACATCCATAATCTGTATGCAGACATCTATTTTAGAGATTAAGCAGAATTGCTTATTCGAACTTCTTGGTGGTGCTAAAAAGAGATGTTAAATTATCAGTACAGAGAATTAACAACTTTGAAAGAGCTGGAGAAAAGAAAGGGTTACATTTCCTTTGTTATTTTGCTCTAGATTCGATACCTTGTAAAGTGATAGGAATTAAGCTTTTAGGTTATCAAGAAGGCTATGATGTATTTGATGCATGGATGATTATAGGTTTGCTGTTTATCTCATTGAAGTTTTTTGGTGTGATCAGCTAATGGGAGAGAAATTTGTCCAGAAAACAGACGATAAATATAAACCTATTGTTGATAGTTAAAGATATTTGCTCTGAATAAAATGAATTAATAACAACTAAAATATTAGAGGATCATCTGTTTAAATTAATTTTTAATTTTTTCTTAGCCTCTTATCCTATTTCTAGATGTATAGAATTATCAAATCAAAATGACTGTTCTAAATTCAGGTTGTACTTTGGTAAGCAAATCGCTCAGCTTTGACTCAATTCAATTGCTTAATTAGCTTCTAACTACTATCGATAGAATACAAAAATAAATCGATCATATGTTCGCCAATTACCTAAAGCGAGAATTGCAAAGATTAAATTCTTACAATTAAGTTTAATAAAATCTTTGGTGCGCTGGTTTTAGTTAAGCTCTAAATTAACAACTTTAAAATTTTCACACTTCAGTCATGCATAAAATCAATTTTCTCTTTTTGGAACTGCATTACACAATTACTCACTCAATTCACTCACAATTGAATTATAAATTCTAATTATCAAATCAAATAAATTTAGACCATGCTAATGTGATTACAAAAAGAAGTATTGTACCACAGCATCTGATACACTTACCAATAAATTGTGGGTCTAATGCTAGAGAATAAGTGCTTTTGCCAAACCAATTTGCTTCCAATATTGTTGAGTCAACGTAATTGCTCTTGAACTTAGGAAGGCCCAATTAATTATATTTTTTGATATCCCTTAGCTTACGGCCAACTAACCCAACAACTTGCAGGCAATTATATGAGAAGCATTTCACAGTTAAAGTAGCGTAAAGTATGTAAAAATGTGATAATAGTAATATTGCCATAATTCTGAAGAAAAAAAATCTCTAAAAAAAAAAGTCTAATTATTTAAGAAAAATTGTTTTATTGTAAAGGAAGATATTTAATGTCGAAATAGGATTCTGAAATAACATGTATTGACGAATTAGATAATTAATAGGAATTTAACTAAATTCAAGTCATTATAAATTCATTTTATTATAATTAATAGTATGAAATTTTCTATTATTTGATAATCATTTTAACCTATTAAATTTAAAATTGATTTTCTAAGGATTTTGATCTAATTATCTATCTCTAAAGATTCCAATCCGATTGCCTATTTTAACTATCGTATATATTTTGAACCACTAAAATGATATTACTTAAATCAATCTATATCCAAAATTTCATTATACAATTATATAGTTAATATTTGCATTTAACTCGAATTCATCTTTCCCCTCTTGTTTATCTAAAATTTTTAGCATCATAGCTTTTCCCTATACAATATTTACTAATAAGGGATTTAAGATAAATCCCTGAAATTATGTCTTATAATTCCATCCACCCCTCAATTTGCAAATATCTCATCTACAACATTTTTTCAAATTTTACTATCCTAAGTTTTTTTAAGAATGATAAACCGTATTATTCATCAATCACCCTCTCCAATCTTTAACCTCCTTTACCTAATCATATTCTCCACCCACAACTAAAAAGATAGCTAATAAATGGTATACTACATCTTTTTTCCACAATCCAAAATGCATCAAAACCAGCTAAAGAAGGCATAGTATAGACGCAAAGAATATTTAGAGGAACTAATGCGGAAGTTTGAAATCGAATAAGAGAAGGATATGAGATGTCTAGAACAAAATCTAAATCTCTTGGCTTTATGTTCTTCCTCACATTGAACCTATAGCTTCTAAATAGCCTTCTCTCGTCTTCTCATATTTTTCTAATGCTATTGAGTCGTTGCTTTAAAAAGTCTCTCTGTATACTTTCATATTGGTTTGAGATAAAGTGTCAGATAGTTCACATAAGTCTCTCCTTTTAAAGACCAATGAAATGTAATAAGGTCATTCCTCAGCCTCCTATATCTCTTCTGCTCATCTGTAACTCTTTCTTCTTTGAGTATTTCTTTTCCTTTGATTTGACTTCTGCCTCACATTTCTTATTTGATGACTACTCTTAATAATGGATTATCAGTTTGTTGAATTAATGTTGACCTTTAACTCAGTCCAAACCTATACTGATAATCTCTTGCTCATCTCCTCCTTTTCTGCGAGTTGTTTGAAATATTCCTAAGTTAATTCCTTATCTATTCATATAAGATGGAGGGTGTTCATGTCATCTATCGGAGAGGGACTTGTCCTATTAGACACCTAGTTATTGATCATGATTTGGTGACGAATCGAAAAACAATTTCATCTATTTATTATCGAGGCAATAAGTTAATATCCTCATGTAGAGGAATTGTTCCATGCATTTTAGAGATCCCCAATGAATAATATTTTAAGTTGAGATCATTCATGTTCCCTCCTTCCATAAGCCTCATGATAAGATTCTGTATGGCAAAAGTGCCTTCTTATTTCTCTTTAGGGGGCGATGTTGAATGTATAGAACACTATTGGTGGTCGACTATGTGTTTGCCTGAATGTATCTGTTCTGGTCATTTCGAATTTCCATAAAAAATTAGTTATTCTCTATTTTTTATGTTAATATATAAGGAAATTCTATAGTTTATCTAATCTAGCTCTTATAATTGAGGAATTACGTAATGAAGATGTGGAGAATTTTTAGAAAGAGTCTTTAAGTTGGAAACACTCACGTATAATAAATTATTGTAATTATCAAAGATTTATTATATACTAATAAATGATTTTACACAGAAAAGATAATTAAGGAAATGATCGAGGTGAGAAAAAGTTGATTTCATACTGGCTCCAAGGCGTTTCTAATTTTATTTAAGGAGAAAACTTGTATTACAAAAATTTTAAATAATCTTCCTAATAGTAAATATCTCTAAGATTATTTTAATAGAATAAAATCTTAGAGATCAATTTAACCAGAAATACGAAATTCATCTTTACTTGTAATAGGATTTGAAAGATCCTTGCACTATGACACACACTAGAAACTGCGAGAGGAGCAGAGAGCTAGTCTATAGACATGTAAAATAGGTAATTCTGTATATATAATTATTGATATATTTTAAAATTGCATTAAAATTTTCAGCAATGAACTTAATCTTTTATGGATATGATGATAATATAGGAAAAGGAAGTAGTTAATCTGTTACTGACAAGCTTTTAACTAATAGAGTGTTGCAATTTCTGCATTCTTATTATATAGCTTTTAGTTAAAGATCCTTCTTTGTGCTTGAGTTCTGTTTTTGGAATAAATTAAAAAGAAAAATAAAAGGAGACATTTCAATGAGCTAAATACTTAATTTACTTAAGTTTTAATGGCATTATTATGTGTGCATATCGGTGGATCAGATATTTTGAAGGAAGCTTAAACTTGATCGATTGATTAAATGGATATTGAGACAACATCAAGAGTAAATATCAGATGTAGCCAGTTCGAGTAAGAAAACTTTTATGTCTTATCAAATGATTAGTGAAGATTTGTGAAAACTTAAATTATTGATGCTGATAATTCATCTTTATAAAATGAACATTTTTAGCAAAGTAAGATCTAATTTAATTCTAATTCAACAACTTAATTTAAGAGAAATAAATTTCACTCAAAATATAAGCTAACTCAATACTATAAATTTTTAGACCTCATAAGATAAATAAATTCTGGGGGAGAATAATCATGAACAAGTACCGAGGGAGATGAAGAAGAGGAAAATCATGTTATGTGTAATTAATTTGGACTTTTTTAAAGATATTTGGGTTCAAAGTTGATAATTAGTAATTATAAAGTTGTTGAATAAGTTCAAAATTACCTAGATTGAAAAAATAAGAAGAATATCATAAATAATTATTTCAATTCTTTGGTAAGATGATATTATTATATCGCCTGATTTTACATATGTGTGCATAGAAAAATATGAGCTTTAGATTGAGAGCAAAACTGTAGCGCACAGCTACTTTAAGGTAATCTATTAGAGATGGAGATCAAAAGTCAAAGGGAATAATGAACTAGTTGTAAGCCTTAATAGAGTATGATTGTGTTTTCTATGACATCTACAATGAAATGAGAATTAAGGAGGGAATGAAGTAGGTTTTAGGAAACAATATTTCAAAATTTAATAAGACCTTAAGATCAATTGTTGAATAAATATATGAAATTAGGTGGAATGATTATATTCTGCCAAAAATGACTGCCAATATTAACAATTAGCCTGATGCTTAGCAATTACTTCTGGATTTGTAACAATGGTACAAGACTTTTTTGTAATAATATCAAATCCTATTATTACTAACAAACACTTAATTCAGACAGCATGAGAATTAAATGTCAAATTTATATTTATTTTACGAAATATCTCATTATATAAATTCTATGTCCAATAAAGATACAGTTCAAAGAAACACGAAAAATCCTTTATGATAGTACTTAGTATTCAATCTCAACATTGATGATGACAATAAAATATATTTCAACTTCCCAATACCTAAGGAAATTATTGATGTAGGAGATGATATGTGTGACCTTGTGCTAAAATGCTACCTAAACAAAATCAAACAATGGAAGATTTAATGTTTGAGAGTTTTGTAGCCTGATGTAAGGATAAAGGAGAAAAATAAAAACACATTTTATTAAGTGATTTAGAAAGACATTATAATCTAAATAATTGATTTCAAAATTTAAAATTATCACAAAGTGAATCCATAATATTAAGATTGAATAACCTCAATATGTTAAATTCCTGAATAATTTAATTTAAATCAATTACTTTGTTCAGAAATAATATTAAACAGTTCATATTTTTAATCTAATAATAATATTTTATTTCATAAAATTCCTAAAATACCTCTTCTAAAACAATCGAAAAGATACTGTAAAAATTATTTCCTTTAAGTTTGGATTTACAGCGTTTATTTTTTCAAATGACACCTAAAAGTCACATCAGCACAAGTGTTTAGAATCTAAGACTCCAATTGATTATAATATAATTCAATTATTCAAATAATATTAATCTTTACTTAATTTCTCTTAACAAAAAAATCAATAATCTCTTGAAAAATAATGTAAGAGGGACCAACCGTTTACTTTAATTGAAAATAAAATCTCATCAATAAGAAAGAATATGTATTGTGATCTTAATCATATCCAACTTAAGTATTTCATAATATTTCACTCCAAATTAATCCTTTCTCAACATTATAATTCATTTATTATTGATAGAGAATAAAAAGGTAGATAACTTGTTGTGGAAGCTGTTGCTATGGCGTATTAGATTCCCTCAAAATATGGAATAGCTAATTTGAAAGCCTTTTATCAAAGCAAATTCAAGCCTCAACTATAAGTTAGAATTTTTTAATAAACTTGCTTGGCCATTACCTATTTAGAAAAGCGTTCGCTAATATAAATAATACCATAAAGGTTAATCTGGCACTTAAAATTTAGTTAGCCAATTCGGAATAATAAATAATCGTCCTTTTGAGCATATATAACCTCTCAATATACTTATAACTCCTAAAATGAGTTGATGTAGAAGCCTAAAAAATTCTCTCAAAGACTGCAATCGGCCAAATGCAGGCAAATAACTTAGGGTTAAACCTTCAAGGATATTTTGGTAGCTAGAATGGTTTCAAGGACTGGAATTGATTTGATTAATAGCAATCTGGACTATTTTTTGATGTGTTACAGAAATAAAACTTCAATAATCTTCTAGTAGAGATCAAAATCTCTTCCTATTTCCACAAACTAAAAACAGCAATTTTTAAATTTTGAAGTTAGAATGCATTTTCGTTCTCCTTGATTGATCAATTTTTGTTGTGATAAATGTGATTTTCTTACATGTTGTTTTATGTTTTTGTAAGATAGGCTTTTAGAATTCCTAAATTTCCTAAAAGGGATGCTCCTTTGTTCAGCATTAAGAATTTATATATCTCAAAATACGTAAATGAGATCAAGGTGGTCAATTTAATGTAGTTCCCTATAAAAAATAATATTTCTCTAAAACTATTTATATGAAGAAGGATTTTACTTAAGTGAGTTCAAGAACTAGACCATAGTCGGTTAGTTTTAATACTGCTAAACGAAAAAACTTCTACTTTGTTAATGATTTATTGCTAATTTTACTTAATAAATTTAGAGTTTAGATTTTCATTCAATTACTTCTCACATTTTTTAGATATCAATATTCTTCATTTTAATATATTCAAGGAAGATTCACTAAAAAGGCAGACCATTTAATTATAATAAAAAATAAGAAAAATTAGATAAGTCAAGAGTTGAATATTCTATCCCATGTTTTTTTATTCCATAATCAAAGAAAATCAAAGGAATATAGATCAAAACCTAATATTATTTCCAATAAAAAAAAAAAGGCATTTATTTGAATATCAAGATTTATATCAAATTATAAATTAGCATTGTAAAAAATAGGACTTAAATTAAATTAAGCACTACAATTTTTGAGATATTCACTAAATTTTCAGTCATACAAATCCTTTTAATACACCAAATTGAATTATTAAACTGCTGAAATTAAGGAAAACAAACATTTAAATAATATTAGCTTTCACTTAAATAAGGCCTTTATATGATTAGATATCCTAAAGACACATAATAAAATTTATACCCTTTTGGTTGCCAAATTTCAATTCAGATTAGCATATTTTAGATCATTCTTTACACCTAGGATTTTCTTCAATAAATAAGACAGTCTAATAAGAATTCTGTTATTGTTATTATTATATATGATTTCTAAAACAATAATTGAAACTTAAAATTAACATGATAAGATTTTCTCCAATTTCAATTGTTATTACTTTATTATTAATAGGAGAAAATACAAACAAAAAAGTTAGTCAAATGCATAGAATAACATAATTCAATAACAAAATAATTTCTTCTTAATGAATAAATGCTTGATCATTAAAGTATTTTTCTGATAAATGTAATAATTCGAATATTTGAAAGGAGGAAGATAGAGACCTTAAATGATCTAACATGATGGAAGATGGCTTTTCATAAATAAACTTGAGATATTGTGGAAGGATTAATATAGATTAACAATATAATAATCTTATGTTGAATAATATTTCACTATGGATGGCCTCCTGGTAATTCAAGGTCCATACTAGTAATTTTCCTCTTCTTGAGGTGAATATATAATATCCCAATTAATATAGTTAATTAAATTAGAGGTTTAAACTATTTTTTAGCATTCTCAAAGACTCTTTTCAGTTCTCAAAATTAAATTCCTTTGTTTTCAAATAATATAATGACGAATTCAAAACGCCTTTAATTCTCTTGTCGATTTTAAGTAAAAACCCTATGTTACCATCAAATTCATATTTATTCTGCTGCCTCTTTTGGCTTGATCTTCTTTACCCTTTTTAAATCCAATCTTTCAGAATTTATATTATATTAGTAGAAGTAGCTTAAAATTAAGTTTAATTCTAGATGTTAATCATTATTACATATTGGCAGATTAATTGTTAATTTAATCTTTAATATTTCTTAGAATTGACTGTAAAATGTATCATCAATTACAGTAAATCAAATTATATTAATTATCAATATTGTTAGCCAAATTCCATCAATATAACTACCTTAAAGTATTAATTTTCTGAGGGCAGATCATTCTGAAATTTCCTTTAATAGTAATTAATATAGTTTTCAAAAAATTGTTTTAAACCTTTGGAAATCAAATATTTCATAATTCATTCGCCAATTTCATCTATTATTTAATATTTTCATTAAATTAATAATTAATGACCTAGTTTGATTAACATTCAATTAAAAATGATATCAAATTTCAATTTACCATTTTTTTTATATGTTTTCGTTCCCTAAAGGTACAGCATCTCTATAAATCAAATTATGAATTGTAATTTCAAAGAAAATATGGGGTTTCATAACATCAAGATATTCAGAATCAATTTTTCATCATCACTTAATACTTATGCTTTCTCCTATTTTACCTGGTATATGTAAAACTTATTTTGAATATAACAACTTTCATATATTAAATTATTGATAAAAAAGTCAAAGTTAACTGATGGGTATCAAGTTTCTAAATAGATTAAAATTAAGCAACGATGACATTTATGTTAAATTAATTTTGAATTCATAATATGTTCATAATAGCTATTTTTAAATATCAAAAATGATATGTATGATAATATTGTAATATTTCTCCAAAATTCCATTACCTCAATGATTTCTATGCTATTAGAAAAATTAATTTTGAATATCATTTCATAAAATTGTACCAATCAATCAGCCTAGGAGATGATTGGAATTGAATGAAAGTTTGTTATTTTTTTTTCACAAAAATTAATAATTATTGAGGATTACCTGATCATTATTGAATTTTGTGGTTTTAATATTTTTAAATTTAAAAACAATATAAATTTGAAATAATTTAAGATAATTTCAATATCTTTACCATAAATCAAATTTTATGAAAAAACTTTGGAGTATTACATCAATAGTCCAGGAAGAACAAAAGAATGAAACTTAAATTTGCTGATTTTATTAATATTTTTTTTTGTTAATCAATTAGTTGATTTTAAATAACAATATATTGAATTTCATGAAAATTATTTAAATCATGAATATACTTAGAGAGTTCTATTTTAATTTAAAATTGCATAATAAATAAGAGAAACAAACATTATTACAAAGTTTTATTAAACCAAACACAATAAGTTATAATACTAGGTTTGCTATATATTATATTTTTTTATACATTCATATAAATAACACTTCAAATATCTCACATTCTTCTATGTTTGGAGTTGATTACCCAAATAAATGTGTATTTTTAGCAACATGTTAATCTTCACACCAATAAGAATGTCCAAAGGTTGATGATCCACTTTAAAAATCTGATCCGATGTACAAATCATGGCCAGCACCAAATATAGGTCCATATGATTAGTTGCAGTGAATGGCATATGCTTATTGGTCTCTCTTTACAGGATATATTTCATCATGAGTATAAGAAAACAAGAAAGATGACAGTGTGTCGTCTTAAACATAAGAATTTAAATTATAATTTCATTTACAAGGTGTATACCCGCCAATAATATATCTACTTTTAGATTAAATATCATTAACAAATTTGATTTGCCTTTTACTTTGCTCCTAAAGTTAAACCCACTCAATCCATCCCTATTACTTAAAAATATTGGTTTAAGACAACATATTCTTTTATTCTATGTTGATTCAATTTTGTTAATTATTTTTAACTTATAATAGTCAGACAATATTTGCTCTTCAAAATATAGAAGTTAAGAAAGATCCATAAGTTCTGATTTGCAATGATCTATCGTTTTAAATTATTCATTGAACTTTAAAGATTATATACATTATTCCTCATTTAAATTCTTCGTCTCTCGTTTTATTCCATTTAATATATTAAGCAAAACTATATTCAATTCTTTACAATTATTTTTATTAAGATCTAATATGTATTAATGGAGACCCCTTTCATTCTACTCAATTTTTTAATTATTGATTGAATCTCCAATTTATTCAATGTTTCCTATTAATTATTTAAATTAATCTAAATTAATGATCTTATTATTGATATTTAGCAATTCATTCCTAAATGAATTAAATTTTATTGACTCGTATCTAAGCGACCATATTTAGGCTCCTAAGCACACTCTTAACAAATTAATTCTGTCTAGTTTTATCCTAATTTGATGTAAAATAGAAATTGATCTTCGTGTTTAAAGAAGGGGATTTTTTTCATTTTCTATTACTTTCCGTTTCTCAAATTATTAATTTCTTCAAGAAATCCTCATCATTAAAACCTGATTATAGTGTAAAATTTTTATATTATTTTTTTTTAATTGATCTTAGAACAACATTCTTAATTTATGAAATTTTATAAAATATTATCAAATATGTAATTACTTGGCAGTAATAAAAAATACTACAAATATTGTGTGAGGTTTTGAGAATTTAAAAACAACTTATTCAGGCTATATTAGAAAAAAACATGTTAGTTTAGAGGTATGTTAAAGATGAGATTTTTAATTATTAAATTTTCAATGTAATAGACGAAAAAATGGAGATACATATACCTAATCTGATCACAAAAATCAGTAGATGATCTGAGTTTGCATAGATAGTAAATGCCCGTATTAAGGCCTAATTGTAATATTTTCTTATCTGACATGGCTAAAATCTCAAAAAATTAGAACCTCATCTAGAGGCTTTTCTCTTCTTCTCGAACTGTAAATTTTTGAGTAAATGAATTTTTTAATTATTAGGAATCTCTTAAACATAAATATGTATATTAGTGAGGAGTAGTAAGCCATTTAGCTTCTAAGAGAAAGCAGTCTAATTTTATTTTGTTAAATAAAAGAAATTGGACACCTATTTAAATTAGAACTCACTTATGACCAATATTCATTCAAGACTTATAGATTCTTTAGTAATTATTGATTGTCCTAATTATGAAATTGAATTCTATTTCCTATAATTATAATGAAATATTCAATCACATGGTTCTATTATGCTTGCGAAGTTCCTATTCCTTTTTGTTCATTTAGATGACTTTTTGTATTGATGGAAAATGCAGAGACTTGTTTTTAATATACATATCCTCCATAATTAAGAAACTTTATTGTACATGAATTTTCAAGATGAAAACTAATGGAAATGTGAAATGGTTATCAGATCCTATATGAAAGAAGCCAGATGAAAATTTTAAATAAAAACAAAATGTGAATATTTATCAAAAAATGTTAATGTTAACAAAATCAAGAAATATTTCGAAAAGATTCTTTGAAGATGTATAATACAACCACTAGTGATTGAAGCAATAAATAGAAGTACCAAAAATTGAAAATAATTCAAAAGAGTTATGGTAATTGATTTGTAATTTGAGAATAGCAAAATAAGTCAAACTATATCACATCATATCATCTACTAAATGTATATGACTATGGAAATTAGAAACGACGAGAATACAAAAAAAATCTATATATGTCAAGGTATTTCGATAAATCTGTATTTATATAGATGGGTGATGTGCAGAAATATAATATAAAAACTTTATAATCAATGTATAGATATTTAATGAATGAAGAATCACCTGAAGAACTATATATTATTGCTGCAAATTATTGAAGAAATGAGGTTGAGTGGAAGTGGAAAAGATTGTTCATGATTACTTATTCAAGAGCAAATTTAAGAGAAATTTTGTTTAATATCTCAAACTGCATTTAAGAAGTGCAAGACAATTAAGTTCAAAAAAATAAATCTTAAATAGTTTACTATACCCTGTTTTTTATTCTGAATGCATACTTTTGTCATTTTTATAAGTCTAGAACGAATGTAATTTTTAATATTACTCCTTAATAGCACATATCACCAGGCTATTTTGGTATTTCCTCTACTTGCATTTTATTTTAATGATTGGATAAAATATTATTTTATGATCTTAAATTTTAATTTAAATAACAAAGATCCAAAATTTTAGGTATAGTCTCTTAAAATGATAGTTTTTTAAATATATAATAACAGCTTTATCTTCTCATCTCCAAATATTTGTTCATCAGTTTAATTATAAGTTACAATTTGTGCAAATCAGCGTTATCAAAATATTCTAAAAACAAAATTTATTTCCTCTTCCCAATTATCCAAGTGATTAATTGTAATAAAGTTGTTTTCTATTCCTAATTATTTGGTATATAGATTCATCTGTTTATGATTTAAATCTTTTGCTATCTTAACAATCATTAGTAAATTACCTTCATTTTTAGAGAATTAGATTTTTTTTGAATATATAAAATCTTCTTTCATTCACCATCACAGATTACACAATTTTCCTGGACTAATTTGCCCTATTATAATAATATATTGATTAACATATACCAAGTGGATTTAACTAGTTTCACAGCTAATCATCATATCAAGTTCCATTTTGCAATTAAATTAACTTTTTTAGAATCTTATATTTGATGGTAAAGTATTTAATTATAAAATCAAACACATTTGGATTTAAGTCTATATCATAATCTTTAGATTTACTTTATATTGAATATTTTAGTGTCTAAATACTTATTGGTATGAAATTAAGAAAATATTGAGGAATATCTATTCAATCTAATTTGATTTATTTTAAAGGAGATTATGTTTTACAAAGTGAAATTAATTTGAGAAAAAAATGATTCTCTATTTAATCAGATATTTACAATTAACAAAATTTTAAGAACCCTGAGAAATAACAGTTTATTTCTTCTACATTTGATTCATCAAATAATTTTTAACAAGTAGGCATTATAATTTAAGTCAGCTTTATCAAAGAAATATTTACATCAATTTGAGTTTAGTTGTACTGTTTTATAAGAAAAATATTAATAAGAACAATTAAATTCTACTCTGTTAAGAAGAAGAAGAAGAACATAAATTATTTAAATCTCATTATTTTTAAATTAATTACAGTGATTTATTATACTTTTCTGTTTTAGCTTTTGATTCCAATATTAATAAAAATTAAGAATTAATAATAAAATTAGAAAGATTAAAAATGCCTTATATTTAGAAAACTACAATCATATGAGTTATCTATCTACGAAATTCAAATGAAAAGTGGAGAAGTATTTAAGCTTTTTTAAACCAAATTGAACTAAAGTTGATATTTTCACAGACACTCAATATAAAATTTTCAACAAAAGATGGAAAAATGAAATTTAATTTCTATAAATCAACTTCAGGATCAATATAAAGTTATGGCGATATTTGGTAAAGAATTAAGATACTTATAAAGATATTAAGTAATTTACTGTTTTAATTTTGATAAGTTTGTTACGAATGTATTGATATCTAAATTTAAATTCAAAAGAAAATTAATAAAACTATTCCAAGATTTTCTGGACACATATTACAGGCTCTATTTTTAATCTCATTTATTAAAAATTTTGTATAAATCTCACTGTCCAATAACAATTTAATTACTTATATTATTTATAGGTCTGCATCCTTAAATTCCTATTAACCTAAGTTTGCTAATTGTATTTAATTTAACTTTTAATTTTGAAACCTTAATTATAACATTAAGAATACTTGGTTTGTCTCAAGCCTACTATACATTCATTACTACAAGAAGCTAAGGTAGTACTATTAGGTGAGTAGCTAATTTACTTTACTTCCCTCTTACTTTAGATTACTTAAATTAATTTTCCTGTTTTCACATCACAAAATCGAATGGAACGGTCATCGCTGCAAGACGCTAATGATTTTTCATCTGAAAAAAACAAAACTGAATTTACCTTACTATAATTACCATTTATTTTATAACCTCATCTATTTTTAAATTCCTCCACTTACAATTAAATAATTTGGCTTAATTCATATTGATTCCACTAATAATGACATTGTCAAATACTGTTCCGCTTAAGTCACATCGAACAAAAGTTGCTCCTCTAAGTGAAGTATTTCTTATTTTAATATTTTGAAAAGATTATTACTTTAAATCAACTTTAATTTAAACAAGTAAATGAAGAGAATTTGATCCGCACTATATGTACCTCTCATCAAAGGCAGTTAGATGAACTAATAATTTTAATAATTCTATGATCTTTTATCTTAGGATATTTTTGCGATAAGATCTTATTTAATTTCCTCTTATTTATCTAAAGAGTAATTTTGTTCACTAAATTCATGATCTTTAATTTTTTTGAGAACATCTGTTATTCTGTTAAGGTTATTCTATCCAACATAAAGCATCTATTCCTTGTCTGTACTGAAAAAATTTCTCCCTTCAATGTTTGCTACCCAACTTATCTTTGATTTTGGACTTAAGCAAGAAATTCTATACAGTCCTAAATTTTCTCCCTTTTGAATATTTTTATCAGAATAGGTAAAATTGATTCATAAGTAGATTTAGAAAAATCCAAAATCCCATACAAATCTTCATTCTCCACTTTTTCAGAATTCATTTTATTCTAAAAAAATAATAATATCTAATACCTAATATAAATGTTAGAAAATAAATCAGAAAAGGTTTCTTCCAAATTTTAGTTAGGAACAAAATCAAACTTTAATATCCAATTTGATTGCTTATAAATACAACCTTTTATTCTTCTTAGCAGTTTGCCAATTTAATACTTTATCAATTCCACTTAAGCATAATAAAATAAAATTTAGATTGTGAATAAGGAATATAAAGTATAATTAATTCTCAAAAATTTAAGTTATGTTTATTCAATATTTGCTTCACAAATTCATAAGTTTAAGTCATAAGAACCTTAATTATTGCTTGATTAGTTTAATTGAGGATTTTGATTTATTTGTGCAAAGAAGTGTTAGAAATAATAGAAATCCCTTGGTAATATTAGAGAAAATGTTTCTTCCTTTTCAGTCAGCAATTATGGCTCAACATGAGAAGCAAGATGCCTTAATAATAGAACGATTTATACTTCATAGTCATTTTTAACTTAAAATAGAGAAAAATAATAAATATCTAAAAGAACACATACTTTATCTGAATAAAATAGTAAAGCTCATCTAAATTGGAAAAATATTAAATAAAAAAATACTTCAAGTTTATCCAAATAATTATTAATATCCATTAGTACTCATAAGGCATCTTGAGTTTGTATGAATAAAATTTTTCATTAGAGATAATAGCTGCTTATCTAAAATATCCAAAACCTTAAATATATTTATTTCTTAGACATTCTAATGAATTTGGTCCAAAAGAGAAGAATTTTCTTTTCTAAAAGAGCATGCTATTGGTATTTTAGATGATAGAACAATTGGAGAGCTATTTATTATATAGCAGTTAGAACGTGTACAATATGTTTTTGAAATTTATTTAACATCAATGCTTAAGAATTAAGTTTAAGCTTTCATAAAGTATATGAGAAGAATCGGTATATCTTATAAATAAGTTCCCTTAAAATCTTTACAATCTTTGAAACAAACTACCAGCAATAATATCCAAGAGTATTGTAGGGCCACTTTTAAAAATAATGGATATTCACTGCTTTTCTCGATGAAACAATGTTTGGGCAGTCTTAAAGCAATTTTAACTGCTGGCAGATAGCTAATGCAAATACAAAATAGAGACAATTTTTCAAAGTTAATGAATGCATGAATCTTTTCGGATGCATAGGTGATAAACCATTCATTAGAATTAAATAATATTTGAGACTGGACTGGAAATAAATTTATTTTTGGTTTATATTTTGACTCATAATAGAAGCCAAAAATATTTAAGGATAACAAATTCTGCATAGTAAAGGGTAACGATTCATTGTTTTAAAACTAATTGTTTAATAAATTACCAAGAATATTAGTATTTATTTCTCCTTCCTTAAAATCCTAAATTTAACCAAATAGAAAAAATTTGGGGAATAAGGAATTAAAATGTTTAAAAAGTGAACCGTTAACAAATTAAGCCTTGTAAAACACTTAATTCAAATTAAATCAATTTAATTATCTAATCTATCTGAATATTCCAGTTTGCACATAATTTCCTGCGAGGACTGTAACTGCCAGAGTCATTTTAGCAAATTTCCTGGAAAAAATCTAAAAAAATTTCCCTGAAAGACCAAAGTCTCAGAAAGGCTGATTAGGTCTTAACTATTATGATTTGATCTAGGCCTTCAATTTGTTGAGAACATTCTAAGTACTAATTAATTGTTGGTGAACTTATCTATATTCAATAAGTTTAGATAAATGAATTCCACACCTATTAGAAATTTTATGTAAACTTCTTTTTCAATACAACCATGTAAAATTCTATTTACATTTATTGCATTTTATTCTTGCCACTTCATTAGATCAGACTATTCATAAAGAGAATTTACATATATATCAAAACTTTATTTAAATTAATGATTAAGGTATATCTCGATTTGTTAGATTTAAATTTAGAGTCATAATTATTGTCTTGGCTTGTTGCTTTTATGATGAATTAGATGGACAAAAATTATGGTATTGTAGGCCCTAAATATGTGTTCTTATTATTTTCTCCTCTTAATACTTTTATTCTAATTTAAGGATTTATACTATCTAATAATATTAGGCTCTGATCTTGGTGCAAATATATATATATATATAGCTGAGAACTTAAAGTTGTTCTAAAGGATAATTATATTACTACAAATATTATCTAAAATCAATTACTTCTGTATTTTTATGAGGGTTTTATCAATATTTATAATATATCATACTAATCCAATTTAAGTCATCTAAATCTACAACTAATTTTTTAGAGCTGGAAGCCTATTGTAAAAACTAGATGGTCAAATTGGAATTGTTACATCAATTGCTTATTCTAGTGATGGTAAACACTTGTCACTGGTAACTATGATATCTCAATTGGACAAACCTTTTAAAAACAGCTAAATTATCAATAAATTAATATTTATACTTCTTTTTCATTTCTTGTTTTATATGCTTTTCTAATTAAAGGCTCATTTACTTTTGTTATTTCCACTGTGTAGTTTGATTTTTTTTTTGAGAAATTTTATAAAGATAGATGTTGTGAAATTAGGAGAAATATTTTAACTTTCTTAATAATTTTTGAATCAATAATTACTTAAGGGAAATTAGAAATTCTAATAGAAAATAATAATACATCAGAATTCATACTAAAAATCTCTTACTATCATTTTTGATTTATAAAAGACCGTTTACTAGGATTTGATACTTCATTTGGAGAAAATTTAATATAACTGTAATGATAGAGGGAGATTCAATTATCAAAAGAATTAATGATTTTAGAATAATTACCATATATCATTATAACAAACGACATAAAATTTATAAATTAGCTATATTGAAATTATTAATAAAATAATATTTATTTTTGAATTATAAGATTTCGAATTTAAATTGTAAAGAGGATGATTCTCGAAAAATATATAGAAATTATCAAGATTCTTTTTGGATTCATTTAGATCAACATGATAGAGTAATTTAAAGTAAATAAGTGTTTTATTATTTAACATAAGAATTAACTTTTAAGAATAATTTCATTAAACTATTATGATAAACGCTATTTTATAGCCATGATGTATGGCAGAATAAATATTCTTAATCTAAAAGTTCAGAAATAGAAGCTTATTATTCCATACTCCCTGAAAGTTATGATTAGAGTTTACAAATTTTAATGAATTTATATATTTTTCACATAAAAGATCAAATAGTTTATTTTTAATTGTTTATGATATTTTTGGGCATTTATTTCAGTTGGCACACATTAAATAATTAATATATTTACTAATTTTCATTAATAAATCAAGAAATAAACAACCAACCTAAAACATAAAAATAATTACAGTATTATCACAATAAACAGATAAAGAGGAACTATCAAAAAATTAGGCAACAAAAAAAAAGAAAAATGATTTTTGATTTAAGTATGAAATCTCGATATTCAATAACAGGACCAAATCCATATAAATATAAGGTGATAAATATTCATAATAGAAAAAAAGGGCTAAAGAAGCACACATGAATCATAGAAAGATATAACCATTTTAAAAGTCTTAAAATGAGAAAGAAGTGTGTAAAATAAGTCGAAGAAAATATAAATCCAGAAATTAATAAGGATGAAGGATATATCGATCTGATTTATTATTTAGACCCCTACTTATGAAGTATCTCTACTGCTGGAGTAATATGGTAGGGACAGAAGCAAAAATCTTAAAAATGAGGATAGGTATTGGCCCAGGGATGCAAATTTGGGGATGTTTACAAATTTTAGCAATTTTTATATATTTCATAATAATATTGATTTTTTCTAATAAATACTTCTATGACAAAAAAATGATGCATAGAGATCACAACATAAGCCCATAAACTGATTAAATTGTGCAAAATTAAACTTATTCTTTTGTAAAATAAATAATTTTAACCACAATTCAAACAAGAATTTTTCAAAATTTTCTATCGTTTAAACAGTCCTTTATTTTCTTGGATCTTTCATTTTCCCTTAAACAAATTTAATAAATCCATTAGTTTTTGAGTTAATACCATAAATCAAAAAAGTACCTCGCATTATTCATTACTAAGAAAACCTGTAACAAATTTTGAAGTGATTAAAATTGTAATAGTAAAACTGAAATAAACTAGAAATAAATTGATTCTTTATGAATATGTCTGATCTTCTCATCATATTAGATGAAATTGATAGGTCCATAATAATTGATACCATGATGATTTATTTATCTGTGTAATATTAATCTATTCAAGATTTTCTAGTAGTTCCTCTGTGTATATTTCCTAAATCTTGGTACAAAAAACCTCAATTAGTTTTCAACAATTGACTCATTACCAGTATTGGTCTTACTCTGATAATCCTCCTAAGGAATCAAAATCTAGTGAGAGTATTAAGTTGATGTCTATAGTGATAAGTTAATTTTCAAATAAGAAGGTATCGGTCTTCTTTTTAATTCTATCAAGTCATAAAATCCTTCTTAATGGATTTTAGTTTATAATAATTTCATATCAAATCAATTAGACACTAAAATTATGGATTTTTCTAATTTTTCATAAGTTGATCCTTTTTTTTAATAATAGTGAACTTGTCTATTTATGGAATTTAAAAACAGGGAAATAAATTTTGAAATTAATTGGTCATAATAAAGATTGGCAATACATTAGCATCTTCTAGTTGAGATAATCTATCCGTTTATGGAATGTTAAAACAGGATAATAAAAAGCAAAATTAGTTGGTCAATATAGCACAGTTTATACAGTCTGTTTCTCTCCTGATGGTATCACATTAGCATCTTGTAGTGAAGATTAATCTATCCATTTATGGGATGTTAATACAAATAAATAAAAATGCAAATTATCTGGTCATACTGAACCCGTAAATTCAATTTGTTTTTCTCGAGATGGTAATACATTAACATCTGGTAGTGCAGATAACTCTATCCGTTTATGGGATGTTAAGACAGGATAATAAATGGTCAAATTGGATTGCCATTCGAATTCAGTCCAATCAGTCTGTTTCTCTCCTGATGGTACTAAATTAGCATCTGGTAGTTAAGATCAGTCAATATCTTTATTGGATATTACAGTACTAAGTTAGCCTGTTGTAGTAATGAGAATTTGATTCATTTATGGGATATACAATTTGGACAAGAAATATTACCTTCAGAGAACTGTATAAAGAAATTCTAGAATTATTTAAATCAACTTACATTTAAAACAACAATCTTACAGAAAGTGGTATTTTTCACCATTATTAGAATGTCTCTTATATTACCATTCTTCGAATTTCCTAAAATCCAAATATAGAAGCTTAAGGAGCTTTAATCTTGAAAGGTGAATTTTTAAATTATTAAGGAGCAGATTTAAGATAATTATTCAAGTCTAAAGGAAGTTTGACTTTAGAAACCTAGAAAAATTGATTATTATTAAAAAACAAATAAATATTTGCTTAATCATCACCAAAATAAATTTCGCCGCTAACTAGGATATTGGAGCTGTTATTTTTCACAATCCTTTTTATAAATGTGATTATTAAGGATGTTAATCATACAGTCAAGTAAAAATTAATCAAACCCGTTGCTACAGACAAAATAATTTTAAAAAGAAATATTCCTAAAGAATTTTTTCATCTATTAACTATGAAATCCTTTCTGTAAATATACTTGATTAACATATTTCTTACATATAAAATGTCATTCATATTTCTTAATTCTCAAAGAATAATTTTAATATTTCCTATGTAGAATTGCATTAATTAAATATATTTCACATTGGTTATGCTTTAGATTACAGGTGTATTTCGCTAAT